AGAAACAGAAAAGATTTTAGTAAAACGATAAATCGGACAAACTAAAATAGTTAGAGCATAACCTGACCAGAAAAATAAGTTATAGGATTATCCAAACAACGTCCTAGCAGTAATTTGGACGTTTTAAAGATAACAACGGATCCATTTTCGGTCTTGTTTGGATGCACATCAATCCACGTGTGTTGAGATGGAATGAAGTGAAAATTAGTTTAAGTTCCACTCTAATCCACTTCAACACATGTGAATTGAGATGGATACATGTACATCTAAATAAGGCCTTCAGCATGTTTCTTTCTCTCCCACCGCACACAAATACAAACAAAGGTACTTCACCCCTTTGCTTTGGGGTGTTGGAATCATAGATCACAGAAGAACATGATTGGCGTAGCAAATCTATCGTGCTGCTTGTGCATTACTGTTCGAAAGATAATGGCTAGGAATCTGTCTCACATGCTTGCATTGACAATGATTTGGTACATTATATGCGCATGACAACACTAATAAGGACAGCTCGGCAACAATCATGATGGTAGTGGTAGAAGAAAGCCTAGAGCTCTCCTCGTCACACACCTCGTATATGAGTTTAGACACAGCTTTTTTTCGAAAGCGTGCTTGACACGTGCCTTATTAAGAGAGGTTAAAGATCGTACAACACAAGCCCTAGCCGAACGACGGCGAGATGCCGAGGCCGCTGCAGGGCTGCACACTTACAAAGATCACCGGTGCAGCAAGGAAGTTTAGACACAGCTCGTACTGCACTGATTAATGCCAGTGACCAATCATGCTGTTGTTGGTTTGTGGAGACCAACTAAGCAGAAATAGAAGCACATGCAGCCGTTAGACATGGGGGAGACTGCAGAATCAAGCGGAACTAACAAACTTTCTAGTTTTTTTTACCACCGCAAGAGACTACACTTATGATCGAAAGCTAGTCATTGGTGCATAGTTCCCTGATTATTTATGTGAAATCTATGACACTTGTCACAAGCCCACACACAAGATACACTCCCACTACTACATAACTGATTTGCAGCAATGCATCCATTTTTAGTAGAGACAGCTCTATTTGAAACCCATTCTTATTTTTAGAGTCGGTTCTAGATCCAGCCGTCTCTAAAAATATTTCTAGATGTAGCTAGATCTAGAGCTATCTCTAAAAATAGATGCAACGCTGTAAAATTCATAACATTTTCAAACGAAGTTATATGAACACAAACTTTATATCAAGAGATCTGCAACTTTATAGTTGATGAATTTTCCATTTAAAATCATTTAGATCTAACAAATTTTGTTTGAAGTTCTCACGTTTGCAAAAATCTATGGTCCTAAAATTCAGTTTTAAGTGCTTACGTTTTAAAATTTAAATTTTGGAATGGACTCGGATGGAGACACGACAAAAGCCAAAGATGCAGATCTCGAAGAGCTTTACAACTTTGTAGTTGACAACATTTTAATTTAAAATAATTTATCCAAGAAAAAATATGTTTGAATGTTTCACATTTTGAAATGCAATTTTTTCAGATAACCTCGGATGGAGAAATGACCAAAACCAAAGTTGTAGTGCTCGACGATATCTACAAAATTCTAGTTTGAATCTTTTTTCATTTGAATTCATTTAGGATCTCAAATATTCATTTCAAAATTCATTAAAGTGAATACAAAAAATGTATATCTACCCTATAGTCATAAGTGACTTTAGGTGAAGTGATTAGAGAAACTACACGCAAGGCCATATGTTGTAGGTTCAAATCCGGTTGGCCGCACGTACGTGTACGTATTTCACGTGACTTATGATTTCTCCGGATTATTTTTTTGCAATTTGTTGGCATGATTTATAATTTTTAAAAGATTATTTATAGGAGCATGTTTCCAGCTGTCCCTACAAAATGGTAGAAAACAATTCCGTATGACATAGAGGCTACCAAATGGTCAAAGCATCGTCAGCTTCAAGTCTCCTTTGTTTTCACACAAGTGCATCCACACTTGTGACTAAATATAGTATCTTATGTTTATTAGTTTCTACAGATTTTGTATTGGATATTTTGATCCCTAAAGGTTCTCAAATGAAAAGTTACAACTACATAGTTTTAGAACTCGTCGAGCACTGCAACTTTGATATAGGATATGTCACCATTTTAGTTCATTTGAAAAATTCAAAATTTTAATTTTTAAAATATGATAACTTAAAATATATATTGGAGCCCCTAAATGATCTTGAATAAAAAAAGTTGTCAGCCATAAAGTTCTATATCTCATCGAACTCTATAATTTGATATAAAGTTTATCTTTATCCGACTTTGTATAAAGTTGTGAATTTATTTGCTGGACAACTAATTTCATGGTTGGTTGACTTAGTCAGCCATCCCTAAACATCGATTTCTAGGGACATAGGGATAGTTGACTTAATCGACTATTTTTAGGGATGGTTAGCAGCCGTAAAAATATGAATTCTAGGTGCAGTTATTTTATATCAAATGTCCCTAAAAATAAGTAGATTTTCAGAATGGTGGTATTAAAGGCAAGTTTGGTTGTTTTGTTTGGCACTCGGTGGCCTCACCGGCATGGATATGGAGGTAAGATGCTTGTTTGGATATCTGGCTAGAGTATCTCGGGGCTTGTGCTGGCTAATTTTTCTTTGCCCATGCAAGAGTGTGGAAATGGCTTGTCTAGTCTAGCAAGGCAAAGCTTGCCTAGGCATACTTGCAAAAAAAAAAACCTTGCCTAGGCAAGCTGATTAAAAGAACCAAACACACCAAAAAATCGATTTCTAGGAATGGCTGGAAAGCTACAGTGCAACCCAATATTTCTATAGACGATTTACTATATGCATCGTCCTAAAAATTGAAGATGATTGTAAAAAATCATCTATATAGTAGTGCATATATACCTTATTGTTTACGGTTACATGAATAACCACATGAAAAAATAGCCATAAATACAAACTATCGTGTTATTGAGCCAGATGGGAAGGTTCCAAACAAACTAGCACCCTCTGTCCTAAATTATAGTTCTATTAGCTTTTTTAGATACACAGTTTTTGCTATATGAGTGTGGATTTTCTAGGACGGGGTGTAGCTGCGCACTCTTTGCATCGTCCAAATGAAACACAAGCAACATCTGCTTGGAACAGCTGAAACACTTGAAATATGTAGATAAAACACTTGCAACATCCGGATGAAACACTTGCAACGTCCACTTTAAAACACCTAAAACATTTGAAACATGCACTTATTACTGTTGAAACATGTTCAGATTATACTATTGAAACATAGGGTCCGTAGCTACACCCCGTAGCATGCCAATTTTTCCCTTTGCTATATATGCATGCGTAGATATATATATGTGTAAATACATAATAAAAGTTGTGTATATCTAGAAAATCCAAAACAATATGTTGCATGTTCAGTGTAGAAAATCTTTCAAAAATTGTAATTAATTCATCCAGACTCCAAATGTTGCGAACCGTGTATGTTTTTTGATCAGCTCGACGAGAAGAACACAAGGGTGCAATCCAATCTTGCATTTGAGAAACATGCCAAAACCGGCCTGGCAAGTTATAATTCACGTGTTCACTGCCGCTAATGATAAGACAAGCAAGCAATCCGAACATAATTTTTAAGGCATGTCAAGTATCAATAACATCAAAGAAGAAGGTTTCACTATATTTCTTTTATTATAATCTTATTAAGTTTTATTGTAACCTTATTAAGAAAGTAGATGTCACGGTTAGGAACAGGGTGGAGATATAGAAATGATGTACTATATGTATGTTTGTTAGATATTTTGCATGTCCACAAACCTTGAGATTAGTAGATATATATTAGATAAGATTGGTTAGATGGACATGTATTATATAAAATTTCAAATCCTTTATCATGTCGATGGGCAAAATTAATTAGACAGACCTTTATGACATCTGTATTTTTTTCTCGAAAAAACATCAAAATGTTAACCCTTTCCCTTAATCACTTATTTACTTGCACGAAAGGCCATTCCATGAGCTCTAAAGTTTTCCCCATGATTCTTTGTTATTTGGTAACATGTTAATTATTCATTAAAGTTTGCTTATCTTATCTTTTATAATTATCTTAGATCCCCGCAGCAACGCGTGACGAATTCACCTCGTATATCTTAAAAGTACAGCTCGGTACGGTAGCTCGTTTTGATGAAGCAGTTACAAGAACGTCAGAAGCAAAGGGGAAAAGAAGAAGAAGAAGAAGAAAACTATGCTAAAGGGGAAGAGAGAATGGGCATGAAAGGTTAATGGAAGCAAGGGTCCAAACTAACCATAGAATAGGAGAATAACCGTACAAGTCCTGGCACTGTTTGGTTGCGCACTGTAAAAGCAAACGCAAAGGGAATGGAAAACAGCGTTAATGGTAACAGATGGAGCAGATTCCTGATTTTGTTTGGTTCTAACAGTGTAAACGCAAATGGCTAATGGCCGATGTTCGGTGGGCATCTCGACTCGCTGCCTGGATGGGATTACGGCCGAGGAGCACCGGTATCAATTTTCTATGGGCGGGTATTCGTTTACGGGGCAGCGGATTGCGGGCTAAGCCTGAAACAAACAAATCTAACGCAGTCCGATTTGGCTTACCTTAAAAACAGCACTATCCAGCTTATTTTTTTTAGCTGTATTTTTCTCCCACAATAATTCAGGCAGAACAGTATTTTTAGACAATTTTAGCTAAATTTCAGCAAGCCGAACGGGGTCAATCGCATCCCCTCCGTTATCTATTTTCGTTACAAAAGCACCAACCAAACGCTGTCTATATTGTATGATGGAGTACACTCTCCTTGTATAATTTAACAGCTTTATTTAAAATGTCTGCTATCCCTGTATAAAACGCTGCTGTGTGCTCTGAGATTGCCAGTTGCCACAGCACAAGCAAGCTCACTCATCACAGACGTGAAGCACGGCCTTATAGAGGCTCAAAGGCACGCGTTCGAAAACGCGGAGCCATCGAGGAGAAGCCCAAGGGAGGCTGTTCTTCATCATGGTCGCATATGCAACCACGTTATACGTCGCGGCTCAAGCCCTGCAGGCGAGCTCCTTGCAGCCGCAGGTGGTGGCCGCCGTCCTCTTCACGTCGGCCGCGTGCACGGTGGCCCTAGCCGTCCTCCTGGCCTTGCTGCGGCTGCGGCCGCCGTGGTGGTGCGCGTGCGCCGTGTGCGAGGCGTACGTGACGGCGTCGTGGACAGCCGAGTTCGACAACCTCTGCGACTGGTACGCGCACCTCCTGCGCCTCGCGCCCGGGCGGACCGTGCACGTGCACGTGCTCGGCAACGTGGTCACCGCCAACCCGCCCACCGTCGACCACATGCTGCGCGGCCGCTTCGACAACTACCCCAAGGGCGCCCCCTTCTCGGCCATCCTCGCCGACTTCCTCGGCCGCGGGATATTCAACGTCGACAGCGACTCCTGGCTCTTCCAGCGCAAGCTCGCCGCCGCCGAGCTCGCGTCCCCAGCGCTGCGCTGCTTCGCGGCGGGCGTCGTGGCCTCCGAGCTGCGGTGCCGACTCATTCCTCTGCTTCACTCTGCAGCCGGCGGCGACGGAGACGGAGACAGCGGCGAGAGGCTGCTGGACCTCCAGGACGTGTTCCGCCGCTTTGCCTTCGACTGCATATGCAGGATCTCGTTCGGCCTTGACCCCGGCTGCCTGGAGCTGTCGCTGCCCATGTCGGCGTTCGCGGACGCGTTCGACACGGCGTCGATGCTCTCCGCGCGACGCGCGACGGCGCCCATGCACGTGTTCTGGAAGCTGAAGCGGCTGCTCAACGTCGGGGAGGAGCGGGAGCTCCGCGACGCCATCCGCCTAGTCGACACGCTCGCCGCTGAGGTCATCCGGCAGCGCCGGAAGCTCGGCACCGCCGCCTCGGGCGACGACCTCCTGTCGCGCTTCATGGGCTCCATCAACGACGACAAGTACCTCCGCGACATCGTCGTGAGCTTCATGCTGGCCGGCCGTGACACCGTCGCCTCGGCTCTCACCGCCTTCTTCCTGCTGCTCTCTGACCACCCCGACGTGGCCACCGCGATCCGGGACGAAGTTTCCCGCGTCGCCGGAGATCACAGAGACGGCCACGCCGCCGCCGCCAGCTCGGAGAAGCTCAAGGACATGCACTACGTGCACGCGGCGCTCCACGAGTGCATGCGGCTGTTCCCGCCGGTGCAGTTCGACTCCAAGTTCGCGGCCGGCGACGACATGCTCCCTGACGGCACGTTCGTCGCAAGGGGTACCAGGGTGACCTACCACGCGTACGCCATGGGCCGCATGGAGTCCGTGTGGGGCCCCGACTGCGCCGAGTTCCGGCCGGACCGCTGGCTCCACGACGGGCGGTTCGTGCCGGAGAGCCCCTACCGGTACCCGGTCTTCCAGGGCGGCGTGCGCGACTGCATCGGCAGGGAGCTCGCCATCATGGAGATGAAGTCCGTCATCGTCGCCGTCGTGCAGAGCTTCGACATCGAGGCGGTCGGCCGGAGCTCCCACTGGCCAAAGTTCGCGCCGGGCCTTACCGCCACATTCGCCGGGGGCGTGCCTGTCAGAGTGCGGCGGCGAGCTCGTGTCAGCGAGCTCCGACCACCACCAAGTTAACGTCACCACGGCACGCACGATTTGCTCGTCGTATTCGAAACAGAGCAAGCAAGCACGGCGAGTGCGGTGGGTTCTTGGCCTCCACTGGAGTCTGAAGATTCCTCCGATAAGGTCATCTGGTCATCGCCCTGCGGACGGGATTAGTCTACTTAAAGTCGCCTCTGCATGTCAGCATGTGTGCTTATTCTTTCCAACTTTCAAAGCAGAATTGTCGAAAAGAAAGTTTGCAGATTTAAAGTTGCAGAATGCATGCACATCTAGATGTTCTAGCTTCCTCGTGGACATTTTCTATGATGAGGGAACAACAATTATTGCAAGGTGGTCGGGCAGCGAATTAGAAAAATGCAGTTGATATTCTTTATTCCAGCTCAGCGCGTTGGTTAGATTTTTACGGTGGAACCTATCCACCAGGTTCGAGTCTTTTACTCAGTGTAGCTACCCGTCCAATCTAATGTTTGTTGTCCTGTCGTCGAGAGGTGTTCATAGTGTGCATGGGTGTGTTCAAAGTGGTGAAAATGTGGTGTAAGCGTGCAATTTGTAATGTGTTTCAAAGTGATTGTACATATGCTTATACGAGTATATGTGTTTACATATGTTTCATAAAAAGAATAAAAAATGTGTTAAGTCATTTGGGTAGTATGCTATTTTATAGCTAGTGACGAGCTAGCTTTGACCAGCATTTCTATCACATATATACTCCATAACATATAAATTAAAGTGTTTTTTCATCGATTATGAGTACTAACATTGATCTTATCCGACTAACTAACATTTTACATATTAATGTTTGAAATTTAAAATTTTTAGCAGAAATCAATTCCAAGGTGACTTATCTTTTTTCTTCTCCACAAATGATAAGCATATTTAGTCCGAGGAAAAGTCATACAAAATTCCTTTAATTTTCCTTATAATAATATGTTGCCAATTGCTAAAATCAATCTAATTTTAGAACACAAATATCTATTGATGAGTTTGCATAATATTTGACAACAATTGCTTGTCAGGACTTGTAAAATTTGACTTTTCCCTAGCCAACGCTTGTCATTTCTAGACGGACTAGCGAAGGTTACTTATATATGTGTGCGTTAGGACATGCGCAATGTAGGATGCTTAGGTATGAGTACTTAGAAGGGATTGAAATGTCAGATCATGAAACACCTGCATAAAAGTTAAACTCTTTTATGTAAACTGGTGATAATTTGCTTAATTTCTTTGTTAGCACACTTTAAGCACCTAGTGCCAAGTTAAGCATCTTATATACTTCATTCATACAAGCACTAATTAGTGCATGTGACGTGGAACAAAACTGATATTTCAGCTGAGCACCCTATTCTACGTTCTTATTTGACTTAGCTTTAGGATCTCGAATTGCACACGTGTCAGAAATAGATATGTGCAAAGGAACAAAGTATCAGGTAATTAAAAGGAAGTGGACATGCATTTGAACTCAAGGCCTCAACACAATATGTAACAAATAATGTTAAAACTTACTCACTCCGTCCTGAAATATAGTGCACTCTTGCTATGCGCCACTGTCGGCCTGTCCCGAGCCCCTGACAACGTCACTCCCCATGACCCCCAAGAGATACCAGGCTGCGGGCTGGCCCGGGCTGCTTTGTAAACCATGCTTGTCGGGCCAATCCGGTCCAAAAATTGGGCCAACGTGTCATGCCTGGGCCAATGGCCAGGCACAGAGCCCTATTCGACATGGCCCGGTGGCCCGACATGTAGTGCCTGGCCCAGTCTCATCAGGCCATGCTTTTACTAGGCCTCGGGCCAAGTGGCCCGTTTGGCGATCTATACGTCCAACTCCCATTGCACATGTTTCAGGTCACAGAAAGATTAAACTTTTGACTGACCCGCTCTCACTTGCATTTCAAATAAAACCTACTTTAGCTTTGTGGCTTAGATCTTCATACTCAAACTAACAAAGGGAATAATCTGAAATCTAAACCTTTTGTGGAAAACTTTTTTTTGTTTGTTTTCAGTTTCAAATGCTAAATAATGTCAACATGGAGAGAGAGACTGTTTGAATTCAAAAAAGAAAGAGAAACTGTGGTCGCTCTATAAGGAAAGAGCTGGAGATCCAAAAAATGAGCTAGAGCCGGAGGGAAACAGTGCACATGCTCCTGGGCGGGCGGGGCCTCGTGTGGGGCTGGTACTACTGTTGGATCGATCCTGAGTTTTTTTCTCAGAAACTCTCTTGCCAACTGGTTGGCATATGATGATGGCCATGGCCATGTGCTCCCTCCAACCGTTGATGAGTACGTCGTTCATCCCCACTGCCCGTTTGCTAAATGTGCACGTTTTTTTTAGCTGGGGAATAAAGCAGCGAGGAACAAAATTATTATTGATCCTAGTTCATTCATGTGTCGGGTACCACATTCCTCGTTTGTATCGATCCGTCTTGTTGCGGTTCAGGGCATAAGTTAGTTGGGCACAGACTCGAATGCTCGATCTCTCTCATAAGTTAGTGGAACCATAAAGCTGTAGATTTACTGAGAACTATAGTTTCGATGTATATCATGGTAACATATGAGGTTGTTTTAAAATTTTAAAGTTGAAAACTAAAATCTAAGAACTTAAAGCAACATTTCAGAACTCTAACCAGTTTCAAATAAAAAATTTCTCAACTGCAAAGTTGTAGATCGCACAAAGTTGTAAATTTTTTTATATAAAGTTTGTTTTCATTCTACTTCATATAGAAAAGTTACGGATTATTTTTAGATGCAACTATTCGTAGAGGCATGCTTCTTAAGTTGTATGCCTCTTTTTAATCAATTTCTAGAGATGGACCCCTGTTAATAGCGATTTTTAGAGGCATGATCGATTAACAGATGCAGACGCCTTAGGACGCTCACCTCTGTTAGTTGACTATTAATACAAAACCGTCACCTTAGGATGCTTGCCTCTGAAAATGATTAACAGAAGCAGGGTAGTCTCACCATTTACGGAGGTGGTCTTTAGATATGTCCGTCTCTGTTAATCAGAGATACTATCTCCTAAAATTATTTTTCTAGTAGTGTGAAAGAATTAAGTTGTTAAATTCTATAATAAATTCAAGAAAAATATGATCACCTGTGTTAGACCAAAGATTTGAATCTTAACCAAGTAAGTTACACTCAATACACAAATGATAGACTCTTCTTCCTCGTCAGTTGCACAATTATGACAAAAACATCATCATTTCTAATATAGGAAAGCGAGTTGAAAAACGTACTATAGGTTAAAGATTAGAAACATAGCATGGTGATCTATATAATCAATTTCCATCTCCTACCCTATGAATTTGAGATAGACTTTTATGTGAACTTTGAAAAGTTGTGGAATCTCAAATTCCAAGCCAAATAGCATAATCCATTAAGTATATTTCAATTCCTTCAAAATAAAAGGATTCAAACGGCCCTAAGACTAATAGAGCTACAAGAACTAGAATTGAGACTAACCACCAGAGACAAGATAAACACTACTTAAAATAGGATTTTAAGAAATAACTTTATTTACAGAGGTCACTTCACTTCTATAAATGGTCAAGCGGATCTAAGACAACATTCGCATCTGTTAAACATTTTTAGAAGTCGCTTCTATAAATGGTCAAGCGGATCTAAGACAACACTTGCATCTGTTAAACATTTATAGGCAGACACCATAAGTAGTTTGTTTTTGTTAATCCACTATTTATAGAGACAATACCTGCCTCTAAAAATGACTATTAATAAAGGCAGGCACTACAGATTCCGCATCTAGAAATTGATTAACAGAGATGACACTTTTAACAGGCTTGCCCCTAGAAATAGTTGCATAAAAAATAATCCGTAACTTTTACATATAATACGTCGCAAAAAAACTTTTACATGTAATACAAACATTGTACGAAAATTGTAGATCTTAATATGTTATATATTTTTTAATTAAAACCCACCTAATTCCTCCTGGATAACTTTTTTTTCCTGTCTCCACCTGTGTATCCCGCCACCACAAAGGTACAAATACAACCCACGTGCTGCGGTGACACATGAAGGCTAAACAAATCGATCGATCCCTCAGAAGGCACTGGAACAACGTACAACCTGATTACCTAATAAAGTGGCGGCAAGCTCCGTCGGATAGCCGGCTGGTCGACACTGGATACCATGGCTCATGTGACTAATGGTCAGGTATAGCATTATAAAAAACGCTGGATGATTAGCTTTCCGAAAGAGAGAATCTCCCTTAGATCTGCAGGGGTATTCTTTTAAGTTTTCCGTGAGGACGAGGGCTTTCGATCATGACTGTACCACCACCGTTAGTTGTGACGATTATACTAGCAGATGCGCGCAACGGACAAAAGTACAGGCGCGAGATGCCATCTCATCACACGCCCATCGTACTATAATAAACTATAGCCGCCTTGTTTAGTTCCCCTAAAATTGAGTTCATATTCAATCAAATGTTTAAGGTCCCGTTTGGCACGGCTCCACTTCACCCATGAAATCTTTTTTGCGCTAAAGTGTGGATTAAATATAAATCGTTTGGCAAAAATAACTAATTATAGTTTTTCTTAAAATATGCTGACTAATTTGTAAATGAGGTGAAAATTTTTTTTGCTCCTTCCCACCCCAAAGCTCTATGAGAGTACGTTTTAGGGCTTCATCAGTCCATGATTTGCCGCTTAGAAAAAATATACATGCATGGAGTATTAAATATAGACTAAAAAATAACTAATTATACAGATTATGACTAATTTGCAAGACGAAAATTTTAAGACTAATCAGTCCATGATTTGTAAAAATGTGCTAATTATGGATTAATTAGGTTTAATAAATTCGTATCGCGGAGTACCGAGGACTTTTGTAATTTATTTTATTATTACTATTCAAACACTCCCATGTGACAGACTAACGTGATATCTGACGTGACACCCCTAAACTTTAGCCCTTGGATTTAAACATCACCTAAAATGATTAGTACAGTAGTTTATAAAAAACTCGTTGCGTGCGTCGCCCCTGCACGATTCGCGC